AAGCGAGCAGGAGTCTGGGCTCCCGCAGTTTTCCACTATTTGCTAATGTAATTTCCATGGACAAAGAGCCAGTGTAACATCTCAATGTGGTTTTGAGGGGAGTCTGCCATTATACTTATGCACTCACTTTGCAGGCATGTCTGCCTTTAAAAGGAAGGGGCAGCACTAGTCAAAGCTGGACAGATTATGGGTAAGACTACGTTGGAGGGCACATGGGAGGGAAGGTCTTGTTAAACCAGGATTGGGGGAAAAGCTTGTGCAAAGGGCAAATTAAGCATGTTAGCGTCCGACTCTGACCGCAACATGAGTTTCACTGTAAGAGCCTCAGCTATGCTTATAGGGGGACGTCACGAGGGCATGTCCAGGCAGGACGGTCGCCAGGCACCTTACAGAAAGGTCAACTGTTATTGGCAGTCCAAGGACACGTTCATCGGCACATGGACCAAAGCGTTCCACACCTCAGAGGGACAGGACGGAAACGGTCCCCCACACATACAAAAGCACACTATGCCTGTGTAGCTGTTTCCTGGACAGCTTGAAGAACACAGACAGGCTCTGGTTTTACTGAAATCCATTCAGATTTACTGTGACATGCAGATAAACTGGGAGAGGAAAAAAAAAACCCACACAATTCTCCATCTGTTCGTCCCTGGTGACACGCAGGCAGTGTTTATGACTCAACACAGGCCATGGGGGACAGCAATGCTAACAGAGACACAGGGCACAAAGCCTTCAGAGCGGGAGAAAAACCCGTCCTCTCCCACAACACAGCACGACAACACATGTTCAGGACACCGAGAGGAGCAGAGGCTTAAGTGTCACTGCAATTAGGTAACAGTACAGCCAGAGGGACACAAATTCAGGGGGCATGTCTGAAATGGACATCCAGTCCGGGGGGCATTAAAGCAAACATGCAGACAGGTTCTTGCAGACATCAAGGTCAGCCTGTGTGAGACAGAGCTGTGGAAGCAATTTACAGGAACAGAAAGAAACAGACCTCCGCAGCTCCTGGGAGTCCTTCAGTCTCTCTGGAAATAGTATTTAAAGATGGGTATATAAGTCACCCAGTGAGCCAGTGCCTCCAGTGAGCCAGTGACATGACGACTCATGGAGGCACATCTGCCGCTTGACTTACGGGATTTGGCAAAGGACACAGCCACATATTATGGTGTAGGAAGGGAGTGAGGAGGACCAGGCCACGTTCAGAGTGCGACAACAGCCCAACCCAGGCCCTAGGAGTGATATTGAGGGCAGGAGATGCAAAAGCTGCAGCCCATCCTGTATGGGAATGGAGCGCATGGCACACAAAACCTCCACGCTCACAGTGACCACTTCCCAAGAATCAGAAAAGCACAGAACATTTAATGTATTGTTCTGAAACTTTACCAGAGGCCTGTCAAACAAAAAGAACCTGGCGTGAGAACTGGTGACATCACCTATAATGAGAACGGCGGCAGAGGTGAGGAAGTGGTTCATTTTGAAAATGACCACAAAAAAAGGATCACAGCCCACAGATCCCACAGCCGTGCCACAGTGGGCGGCCCAAGAACCCGGATGGTAGAATAGCTGCCACCATAGGCAGAACGTCCCTAGCAGGACTCATTGCAGATGGTGACACTGACAGTCCAGCTCCATCACCCACAGAAGAGGCTACCAGGAACAGGCAAGACACTCTTATGGTTGAGTTTAACTGTCTGCAGCAAGTAATGTGTGTCATATACACAGCAGACTAAGAAATGAATGTTGGCGAAAATGAAATCATGCCGGAAACTTTAGTTGTCTTGACAGATATTTAGTGAGAGTGATATTGCTTTGGGCATGGACTTTGTATGACTTTGGAATGATTCCGTGACGTTAGCATGACCTGCTTGCACATTCATGTGCGAACATAACTAGACCATTCCATTTGCCGATGAAGGTTCAAAATTGAGGGAGTCTGTTTTCTATTTTCTGATCGGTTGGATTCAGTTACGCTTCTCTGCTGCTAGGGTACTGTGCATACGAATAGGTCGGGAGTGTCCGTAAATATAGGCACATTTCGCTTCTCACAGGAAGAAACCGATAAAAACCGTTGTGTGTGTAAAAATGTGTGTACACATGGTTGATGAATGAGACCCCAGGTATTGCCGCATCACAAAGAGGAGGTTACACACTAAAATCACCAGAAAGGGAAAAACAGAAATGGAAACAGCACAGTGGACACCAAATACACAACCCTGCAACTCAGCGTGTTGCACCAAAGTACTGACCGACAGCCTCTATGCATCTATGACAACACCAAAGAGCTCCCAGATGAAGCAACAAGCACCTCTCCCCCCCCCAAAGTCCACATGCCATGCTCAGGGTCATCAGATTAGAGAATTCCATCTACGCCAAGCCCCCAGACGTGGCCTCGGAGACGGCTTCCTGCTTTTCAAAGGCCTGCACCCTATGCACCAACTACTGGAGCCAGCCAATCAGAAATGCCTACAAAACTGAGCACAAGACAGAGGCTGGCCATTAATGAGAAACCCTGGATGGAAAATCCCAAACACTTCTAAACAACTCCTTCCAGAGAATGTCAGAAGCTACTCCAGCAGAGCCAGCTTGTCACAGCAGGCCTTGGAATTTGCACGCAAACACAAGGGACACTCATGTACAAGGAATGGAATGCCGACTTCCTCCCTAACGAGGGAAGCCAAGCGAGATGACAGCCATGTTATGAGGGGGAGGGAACCAGCACCTCATGAACAAAAGCAGAGGGGGCTTGAAAACCTCACGCTGGGACCTTCTCTGATGGAAATGAAGGTCTGTAATAGAGTGGTTGCAAAGTTACACAAACAGTATCCGTTTTAGACAGTTCCTTACGGCTCCCTAACAGTCACTGTGAAGAATTTCTTACAAGCTCACGAGGGAGCAGCTTGCTTTCAGGAGTGATGAGAAGTAATCTTACCAGCCAAGAGTCTGAGGGTCACCACTGCCAAGCCATGTGGGCTTGGAGTTTTACACACTGGCAGTTAGAAGCTTGCTGACTGGGAGACATGAACACCATCTAGACCTCCTGTCAGATCCAAACAGGCTGATAACATCTACATTTCCTAGAATTCACAATAATCTTTCACAGTCCACTTCCCTCCCTACCGCTTCACAAAACTATGCAAAATATCCCCAAAAAGCCCACACAGCACCCATCACCTATTAAGAAGCAGCCTTATGATTCAGGCTGGGTGGACACTTCATTCACATTCATTTGCAAAATGAGTCTCTCCACAGGGACACAAAGGTCAACCCTAATGAGTGCATTAAGCGACAAAGATCCACACAAGCAAATAATCAGCTGAGCAGCAAGCTGTGGGATCACTGCTACCTTTGTGCAATAAGGGTTAAACAGACGCACGGATGTCATAAGCTGCTGTCAGACACACCATGAACAGACTACTAGATAAGACCAAACCACAAGTATGATGAACATCCAACTGAAAACACCATGTCCCTCCAAAAATAAATGAATTATATATTTTTAAAAAGCTCCACAGAATAGTGAGCAGAACTGAAAAAAACCCCACTTTCCCAAGTATGTGGTTCTCTGAAAATGACCCCCCCACACACACACACACACACACACGGCCTCAGTTTGCCCTTGTGATGTCAGCGACCTACAAGGCAGCTAGGGCCCGATGCTCATTCTGACTTTCACAGAGCAGAATAGATTATGCTGTGTTTAAAGGCCAAATTCCATTTTATGAGGTGCTGCCAAGCTAAAACTCACTCCAATCTATTCCAGACAGTGCCAAATACCTACAGTACATGGACTACAGCATTAGATCTGAGGCCAACCCTTTAAATAACATTGATAAGCCCATCCCATAAACAGAGGATACTCTACACAACTTTACTACTCACTTCCAGGGAGTGGAAACAAGGCCACAAAGCTTGATTGGAAACTGGTCAATTGAACCTAGAACCTACTGTGCACAAATGAGAGCTCGTAACTCTTATCCTTAAATGGGTCACACAGCAGTTAACATACTGGTTAACCTGTAACATCAGTAAAAGCGTCTCAGAAGAACAAAGCATCAGCCAACTGCTAACGAGTTTCACATACACCTAGTAACAGTCGCAGCTCCACCCATATGATGTTTTTAGAACAGTGTTTCCCCACAGACTGTGCACACCATGCAGAAGAAAATCAGCAAGGTTCGGTCTTAGCTGAACGTGAATGATGTAGACATTTCTGCTTTGCTCGTTTCCCCCCCAGAGGCCCAAACTGCCTGCAACTTACCTTATTAATTTTGTTGCAACACTCAAACAAAAACAGAATATAGATTGATTACACCTTTGCCTCAAGAACTTGATGGATTAGGAGCCAACTTGGTTACCCCTGTTTTTGTTAACTATCACCACGGTTTACTTCCTGCCCCTTACAAAAGTCACCCCCCCCACCCTTAACACCGACCCTCATGAGTCTGGGGTTCAGCATGGTTTCCACCTGACCAGTGAACTTCAGTGGAGGAGCACAGAGACAAAGGCACCCTACATGGGCGCCCAACCGGCGGCTCTGCAGAGGAGCAGATGCACGGGTCTGGAAGCTAGCAGACCGATACAAGATGGGAGGAACTATAGCTGACGTGTGGAGAGTAGCCTGCAGATGCAGTCTAACAGGGCACGGCAGCTATCTTATCCCATCACACACACAGCTGAGGGAACTGCTGTGACCTGGTGTCCTAATCCTACTGAAACGTGGCCATTATCAGGGGACATTCAGGGGCATATCACTGATGACAATACTGAAACTGAAACGATGCTTTATAGGCCATGTACACTGGAGAGCTTCTTTTCCCATATATATATATATATATATATATATATATATATATATATATATATATATGAGACTGAAGCTGGGGGTAACAGAGATGGGACTATTCTGCCGAGGCTGGGACTCAAACCAATGACCTTCTTGTCACAGATACAAGGGTCTAACCTGCTGTGCCACACACCATGTCAAAGCAGGTACATACCTCTAGCCGAGAGCTTCTTAGTGTTGATGATTTTGGCTGCATACTCCTGGCCTGTGGAGATCTTCATGCACCTCCTCACCACAGAGAAAGCACCCCTGCCATGTGGGGGGGGGGGGGGGGGGGGAGGAAGCACAGAAAACCAAGACTTTGGTCACCACTGAGTACATAGACAGCTACAGAATACACACACCTGATGTTTTATTACAACCCATATTGACGGCACTTTTTAAGCGAACAATTAACCCGATGAAAAGGCTGTCAGCGGCATTCATTTTAAAGGGATTAAGCACACCAAGCTCAGGATCCGCTCCACAGAGACATGTATGGCAACCTCCGAAGTCATAGCAAGCCAATTAAAAAGGGGATGGTGTGCTTAAAGGCCACTAATTACTCTCAGGACCCAGGACCCCCGAGAGCAGGGAGAACCTCGCAGCCGCTAGACGGCGGTATCACGTGACGAGAGCGCCGGGACGCCGCAGATTTCATGCAGTCGACGCTCACCTGCTGAAGTGCCTTACCTGCTGTACTGGTCAGGGCTGTTGCGCGTTACAGGTCTGCTGTGCAAACCACCTAATCCTATCCGCCCCCGCCCCTTTGACACACGTATTAAATGCACCCACCACACCGCACTGCTTTACCTGTAACCTTAACTAAAGGACTAATAATGAGACGCGTATGGCAGCGGCGCCGCTCACTAACACCGCAGACACACGGGTCACCTTACGAGGCGGGGTTACGACGGGCCGCCTGAGGTCCGGTCCGGTCCGGTCCGCGCGGGTGGACGGACTGCCGCCGCCCGTCCGCGGGGCTTCTCTCACGCTCATCCCGTCGCAACGGCTCCCCACGCTCCCAACTACGCGACTGGAAGTTAAACTATATTTACTCACTTTTTTTGGCAAAACGTACTGGGAAAACCCCTCTAAAGAGCCAGACAGGCGTTCAAATGGGTTTAACAAGCAGCCGCACACTTAACGGGAAGGAGGCGGCAGCGTCAGGGAGGCTCCGGCGCACGGCGGCGGCTCTTACTTGCCGAGCTCCTCGTACAGCTGGTACTCGTCGGTGAAGCGGGTGCAGGTCGTCGAAGCCATGCTGGGGAAAGTGCCGGGCGAGGAGATGAAGGACCGCAGGTTGGACGTGTGAGATGTTCAGCGACACTGCCCTCTTCTCAGACGCTCCTCCTTCCACATAAACGGGGAGAGAACAGCGGCAACAGCACTGTCAGGAAGGCAGGCAACTCGCGTCCGACCGCCGGGCCGTCAGAGCGCAGACTGAGCGGCTGCAGCCTCCACTGGTCGCCAGTACCTCGCCGCGCGCTCCTCCTGCCCTATTTCTACCTGACGTTTCCGGCGCAGGAGCCTGTGCGACACTGACCTCTGGCGGTAAGGACGGAAACTGCAGTGCTTTTTAATCTGTACCTGAGGCACGTTCTCGTGTTGTGTTTATGTGCAGACGCTCAATCAGTTGAGAATATATATCATTTTGGCGTTTAAAACACGGTTATCATAGAGAACGGAAATATGTCTAATGTCGAATGAAATCAGTGTTTAATAGTAGGCCCTCCATCACCCCCGGAATGTTACTTTATTTCTGTTCGATTTTTTTTGCACTGGGGTCATGGATCAGACATGGCTCGATAGAATAACACAACTGAGTTGGTTGCCAATGTTGAACCGGATGCATTTTTTATTAGCCAAGTAGCTGCTGAAATTACAGTTTCCAATATGAAAGCGCGTCCTGAATCCTTGAGTACAGCGTCATCGAGCAAACGACACCTTTGGCTTTTCTCGTGATCAGCTTTCAAATTTGTTCTCATCACACGTAAGACGCCACGCGAGATCTAGAGAACATCTGCGAGATTTTCGTGAGGGGTGGGTGTGCAATTATGGTTTGAGTTGAACCATAATTAAAAAAAATAGCAATAAAGCACCTACAAACTATAGATCAAAGAAGAAGCGTTAATTTAGGTATAAACAATTATAAACACACGAGTATTAATATTAGAACCACATCTGTATTTTTTTGGTTCGCACTGACCTCTAGTGGACATATATTGCACTGTCCTCGTATGTTTATTCTTAACACCGCCATAAATTTGCTATCGAGGAAATAAATGAGCCAGTAGGTAAATGACCCATTTAACATAGAGAACACACGTAAAGCGTATGACGTGTTTAAAATATTGGTTGAAGGCCCTCGGTAGGTTTGTTAGAATTAAACTGTTTATGCGTTCTCAATTAACTTAAAACTTGGAAATCCACCAATATATGAAAATTTCTGATTCCGTAGATAATACCATGTGGAGTGATGAAGATTATCTTCTGCATCCATGAAGATGTCTGGAGAGCCACAGCTTGACATCAGTATATGATACTCATGGCTCTGAAACTTGCAGTAATTAAGCACTTTTGCCTCACACAGGTTATGGGTTCGAATTCCACCCTTACTCTGTGTGTCGAATTTTCATGCCCCTCCCATACTGAAGGGTGTTATTTTTCTACAGTCCAAAGGCATTTAATTAGGCAAGCTGGCATTTCAAAATTGGCAACAATATTTGTGAGTACACATGTCCTCTGATAGACTGTAACCCCCACCCAGAAAAAAATGAAACTAAATAATTAATAACAACCTACAGATAAAAAAGATTAAATGTATTTTAAATTGACTCAGACTAATGGCTACATTTATTAAATTATATAATTTTTTTAAAAAGTGTGTACAAATGTAGACTGTCTAAGCTAATATTGATCTGTAGTGTTTTTGTGAACGATAATGTACATCAACTCTCTCATTAAGTATTTAGCTGTTTGCAGTGACTAATGTTAGTCTGGAAATAAAACATGGAATTTTATATCTGACACAGCAATTAATGTTTGTCATTACAAACTGTGCTACTTGTCAGTACTTTACGGACTGTAATGGACTGGGGCACGGTGACGTTCACAGCCGTGATATTCGCAGGAAAGGGTTCATGGGTGGAGATATTCTTTGTGACAACTTAGGGACATAAATGTATGAAGAAATAAAAATGATGGGTCTATAAGGGATTACAGACTGTCTGCTGACACACTTGGATTCCAGAATTCTCCATCTGTTACTTGTATCTAAAAACATAATTTTTTTCTATCATGTCTGATATCATACTGCTCTTAACCTCACTATTCTCACGCACACACTTTTCTCCCTCAAATAATCGCTGTCTCCTGTGTGTTCTGAGCTGCACAGTTGCCACTATGAATCAGGGATTCTCTGAGCAAGCCCTCCCCATCAGATAGGGGGCTGGCTCCACAGGCCCTGCAGTCAGGGGGGGGGGGGGGGGTTACAGATGGAAAGACTGATTCAATGTGCAGTCATACGAAGCCTCCCTGAGCTTTCTGATGTGCAGAATCAGCAGAAAATCTCACTGTCTTATGCCCACAGATGAAGGATAATATGTTAGGGCAGCAGGTGGCATAGCGGTGAAGTAATCAGCATCATGCCGGAAGGTTATAGGTTCCAGTCCTGCAGGGACTCAGGCTGTTGAATTTGAATGGGACACCTAAAACCACCATCTCATGTAAACACTGTGTCTTTTACTTTCACCTCTTCTCTTTGAACTCTTTTTTCCCCCCCATAACTGGTTAACGAAAACCGCCTGATTCTCTGCAATCGTGACACATGTTTATCCCTGCAGTCGTGGGCCAGCCGCTCTGTGTCAGACTCCAGGAACAGTTTGATGGACACATTGGCGTGGAGATTATCCACAGCGATAAATATTTGTATACTTTTTAAATAGATAATGACTCCACAGTATCACAGAGCATCTATGCCATTCCAGTCGCTGGCTAAATGGAGCCAAAAGTAACAGGGAAACTTAAACATTTACAGTCTTGCTAACGTGCTAAATGCATGTGCAAAACACTAGTGAAGAATGACTTCCTCTAATGTATGCTTTTCTAGTTTAGAGGGACTCTAAAAGGGTGAATGACAGACTGCTCCCGACAGGCCACTCAGGCCCATACAGTGATGTGCGGAGCTCAGGGCTACACCACATGGCCCGGTAAACATTGCTGAGAGGTTTTTTGGCCGCTCCATCCTACAGGAAATGACCTCGTTAAACCATACTGTACCGCTGTTACAGCAGGGAAGGGAGGGGAATTCCTTGGTATCCCGGCTTTGTCTCCCAGGGTTTATTTCAATTGGCAGGGGTCTGTAAATTCTGCGTGACTCACTGCTATTTTAGAGGCTGTGCTCTTAGCTTAGCCTAGCAGATGCTAATTATCCCTGAGCAATGGGCCACCAGCATGTTTCACGACAGCAACACAAACCGCAATGGTGAGCCTCTGTGGTACCTGCTATGCTTAAGTGTGCATCTTCCATTGCACTTTATTCCTTATATCCTAACAGAAGAGCAGTGATAGGAGGGCCTGCCATTGACCTCAGAGCTGCACATCCTGCACCATCACACTGAGCACTGGATCTCCCCCCCCCCCCCCCCCCCCCCCACCAGTGCTGTGTGTTCAGTCCACTGCTGATCACTCTGCTGACTCACGACTGTGCAGCAATGCACAGTTCAAATCCAATCATCAAGTTTGCTGATGATGCGACTGTGGTGGGTCTCATCAGTAAAGACGGCGAGTCAGCATGCAGAGAGGACGTGCAACGACTGTCAGACTGGTGCAGATCCGAAAACCTGTATCTGAATGTAGACAAAACAAAAGAGATGGTCGTTGACTTCAGATGAACACGGAGTGACCACTTTCTGCTGCACATCGACGGCACATCCATGGAGATCGACGAGAGAACCCAATTCCTTGGTGTGTCCAGCTGCCGGAGAACCTCACCTGGTCCCTCAACACCAGCCTCATAGTCAAGAAAGCACAGCTCCACCTCTACTTTCAACAGAAGCTGAGAAGAGCCCATCACCCATCACCCATCATCCATCACCCATCATCCATCACCCATCATCCATCACCCATCACCCATCATCCATCACCCATCATTCATCACCCATCATCCATCACCCATCCTCACAACATTTTACAGGAGAACTACTGAGAGCATCATGAGCAGCAGATGCATCATGGTTTACTTTGGGAACGTTGTTGCCTCAGATCGTAAGAGCCTACAGCAGATAGTGAGGACAGCTGAGAAGATCATTGGAGTCTCTCTCTCTTCTCCATCACGGACATTCACACCTGACACTGCACCGGAAAATGGTACCGGAGCATTCGGGCCTTCACAACCAGACTCAGAAGGGTCAAAGGTCACTGGTGAGCTTAGTGGATATTGTCCTATTCCTCCTTCCCAGTGGTTGCACAGATCGTCTCTGTGGTGCAGATTTGGGGGGGGGGGGGGGGTCATATGGTGATGGGGGCCTTAAAGCAGTACAGGAGTCCATTGCTCCCCTGGGTATGAGGGAGGGGCTGGCTGAGACTCGTTACACAAACCGTCACTAAAAGATGGATTGGGCTCCTGGGGACACCCAAAAGCATTAAGTCAAACTTGGGCCTGAGTGCTTCCACAGAGCCCAGTGATGGAAGGGAGACATGGGGGATGCGGAAGGTTCTCTGCCAGGTGGATTATGGGTAAAGCTGGTATGAGGGGAAACAGCAGCCCTCCATCAACACTGAGAGCTTCAGAAGGGCAAATCTCATCTGGCAAAACAACAGACCATGCAGAAACTTGGACGTGTAAACCCCCCCCCCCCCCAGGTCAGCACAAATGCACACCCTCAGGATCTTGGGTAGGCTTTGACCTGGTTTTATGAAGCTCATAGATGACAACACTGCTAACAGTACAGCTCTATGTTTATGTCTGTGTGTAGGGGTGTCCAGAGGCAGGTTTGTGTGTCCCACCAGTAGAGGTCTCAGCTAGTGGGTGGGGCCATGTCGGTGAGTGTGTCTATAGCAGAGTGGGTGGGGCCATGTTGGTGGGTGTGTCTATAGTAGAGTGGGTGGGGCCATGTCGGTGGGTGTGTCTATAGCAGAGTGGGTGGGGCCATGTCGGTGAGTGTGTCTGTAGCAGAGTGGGTGGGGCCATGTCGGTGGGTGTGTCTGTAGCGGAGTGGGTGGGGCCATGTCGGTGAGTATGTCTATAGCGGAGTGGGTGGGGCCATGTCGGTGAGTGTGTCTATAGCAGAGTGGGTGGGGCCATGTCGGTGGGTGTGTCTGTAGCGGAGTGGGTGGGGCATGTCTGTTGGTAGGTGTGTCAGGGGGGCTGGTGGTGGAGGTGTCTGTCTCCATAGAATGGAACACGCCTTATTTAATACTCACTTTGGCAGTAGCTACACCATCCTGCTGCATTAAGCATTTGAGGGACTGCAGAAGCCAGTAATAACACAGAATATCATGCGGCCATATACATTATGTAAAACACTCCAGAAGAAATGAGTCCTTCTGTCTGGAATCTCCATCTTCTGCCAAAGAATCTGGTTGGATCCGTGCCGTCTCCACTCTGCGGCTGTGCGCTCGGCCACCTATGGTGCCAGCGCTGAAGCCGCAGACGTCACCGGCGCAAGGCTTCTGGTAACAGCTGCAAATAATTAATGTGAGTGACGCCTCATGGGCTGCCTGCACCCCCACGCCCACACGCGTCCCTCCTCGCTGAGAAACACCGCGTGGCTGCTGGCGGGAAGGGAAAGGGACACCGGGGACGAGGCCGCGGCCGGAGGTGGGTGTCAGTGAGCCGCGATGCTGGGCTGCTCGCGGACGCGGCCCGCACACCCCGGGGTGACTGCTTACCGGAAGCGTGTGAGGACACAGCCTGATCTCAGCAGCCAGCCATTCCCACCACGCCCAGCCACTGCGAACAAACACAGCTTTAATCTGCAAATAATTATTCAAATTCTACAAGAGAAGTAACAGAGCACCAAATTTCCACGGGACATATGGACAGGATAGGTTCACGAGTAAGTACCATTTCCATGGACTGTGAGTGAGTCAGTTTGGGGAATTAAATGAAAGTTTGTTGGATTACCAGGTGACTGAGTGAGTTTTGCTTCCTGATACTGTAACATACGATGAGGAAGTCCGACTTTAGGTCATTGGTGATCAAAAACAACAAAAAAAAAGGACTAAGGTCACTTTTCCACTACACCAGGTACCGTATTTTTGGTACAATAAATTTGGTTCTTTTCCTTTTCTGCTGATTTCTGGTCAGGTGGCAGTACCAGAAGTTCCAGTACCAAGAATACCAAACCAGCTTGGGTACTTTTTCGATACTTCAGTATTTGCACACGTATTTACTGGAGATTGATTATGCAAATTACCAAACAAAACAATGATACGTAAAAAAAAACAGTAATAATGGATGTATGGACAAAAGAAGAGGCCCAAGCATCAAAGTGCAATCTGGTTGAAAGAACAGATTAAACAAAATGTGGACGGCATGACAAAAAATAAAAAGGTACTGGGGCTGCATAATACTGGAAAAATTCACAATGTGATTTTGTTGCGGAAAATATTGGAATATTTATAAAGCAAAAATGAAGTTCAAAATAAATAAATATCTGACAAACCCATCTAGGAATGATTTAAACAGCAAGGATAAAAGTGAATATGATTGCCTCAGAGAATGCATGCAGCATAAGGTAAACTTTAAACTGATTTTTAAACATATACTTGACAATCTTGAAAAGGAACAATCATTAAAATTGCAAAGCTGAGTTTTGTTTCATATGACAGGTAAAAAATGTTTTCGCGAAATTTAAACTCACTGGACAGTATGAAAAAGCCTGATCTCAACCCAGCTGATTATTGCGGTACTTGAAGACTTAATGTGCATAACATGCATTGTTGGTATTAATATTGCACCCATCTCTATATACTACAGTCATTTTAACAAATTCAGTACAAAATACCCCAGCTCGTGTCATTCAGCACTCGTACCAATGTTCACATCCTGAGTGAGTTTTGGAAATTTGTTCCTCAATTATGTGTTGAAAGGCCCTTTAAATGAATAAGATAAACAATATGATTATAATCCATTAAATAAATGACGACGCAGGAGAATTTGTGTTTTTTCGGTGTCTGGTGGGTTACTAATGTGAAACCATCACTTGAGTATATTCTGGATTCCAACCAAAGCCAAACAGCAGCAGACTCGCTGACTGTCAGCCCCCTGTGAGTCCGGACTTTGAAAGAAAACACAGACATGATGTATGAAACACTCTTGGGGGATTCCATAAGTGCTGTTCACGGTCGAGAGATTTCACATCATCAAATTGACAGATCGGGCTGTTAAATACGGCCGAAAGTATCTGGCGGCAGCTGTTCCTGGATTGTTTATAACGCGGGAGTCGGCCTGCGGCCCTCACTATGTGTGTGTCTAATTACTGTTTTTGGGGTTCTGCCTTCACTGACGCCCCCTAGACGGACCACAGCATCCCAAGCCGGGCAACCCGCGTCAACACAGTCATGAGCTCACGTCTGACGAGTAAACCCACCAAGAGATTTGGCACATTAAAGGGTTAATGCCGCCCCACTGGCCAGACTTAGCGCTGTAGTATTTTCCACTTAAATATATTTTTATGAAACAGCCGCTCTCTAGCAACTATGAGTCATAGGCCCATGAAGAAGAGAAGGGTGTGATGCTTCCTGTTATGAAAGCACCTCGCAGAGCTTTAGGATGTAAATGTTTTAGGGCCTGATAAGGACAGAGGAGACTGCAGATGGAGAAAAACTTCAGGGCTACGTTTCGTTCGCTGTATTCCCTGTGAACTGATGCCAGATCAGGTGGCGCCAACCCTGTTTACGACGACCCGAGGCTCCTCTCAGAAAAGGACTGCAAATTTCACTTTGCTATTAAATAAAGTTTTTTTTAATTATATGTCACTTTCTGAAATGTATACAGTACAACTGTCTTTTGGCACCAAACATTTACTGTCTGCAACTCGATTAGTTTCTCCAGTAACATAATAAACCCGTTAATGATCTGAGGCTCAGTGAAGGTCAGTCATGCAGTTTCAATGCCTCAGAAAGATGTTAAATGCTAAATGAGTCACATGATGACTTGTAGTCCCTGAGACACGCCCCGCCTGTGCAGGAAGGCAGCTCTAATGCCTGGACCTCCCCCTAAATCTGTTTTTCTTCTGCTCCTTCTTCAGCCTGTCCTCCACATATCTGGGCAGCAGGTTCTTTTCCTGCTCCCCCTGCTCCTCGTACCAGGGGCCCCAGACCCCCCCGCGGAACTGCGGGTTGGACCGGGAGTCCCTGGCCGGGTAGCGGACCGGCACTGCCGTGCGATTGTACTGGGCCAGCTTGAGCAGGAGCCTCTTCACCACGCGGGGGTAGCGGAACGATAGGTCGACGCGCTCATATGGGTCGGCGGCCAAATCAAAGAGCCACACGGACTTGCCGCGGTCCCAGTGGACGCGCTCCTGCTGCCAGCGGCCCGCCAGCGGCAGGGTGGAGAAGGTCTGTGGTGGCACCCAGTCGCCATAACCCGGGACGCCAGTGAGCAGCTTCCAGCGGCCCACGCGCAGTGCCGCCTGCACCGACGTGTCCCACACGCCCAGCCCCGCCTCCCAGGAGCCCGCGCGGGCCTTGATGTACACGGGGTCGATGTTGTGCAAGATGTCCTGGCGTGGGGAGGGTCGTCCCTCGCTGATGGCCTCCCAGACATCATATCCGTCCAGGTCCAGCTCCTCCTCTAGTGACCCACCCGCCAATGTCACCAGGGTGGGATACCAGTCGGTGATGTGCACCAGCCCACGGCAGCGCCTCCTCTTCTTCACCAGTAGGGGGCTGTGCACGAAGCCCACTGCCCTCACACCGCCCTCCCAGTACGTGCCCTTGCCTCCCCGCAGAGGCCAGTTGCTGCCCCCGGCCACGGGCTGCCCGCCGTTGTCCGTGGAATAGATCAGCACGCTGTTGTCATAGTAACCGTACCGCCGCAGCGCGAGTGTGAGGTTGCGCACGGCCTCGTCCAGGCAGCTAACCATGGCAGCATACTTGCGGCGGTATGGGTTGGCGATGGAGTGGTAACCGGCCAGGTATTGTGCGGGGACCTGGAGGGGGAGGTGCACCGCCTGGTAAGCCAGGTAGAGGAAGAGCGGCTGCCGGGGATCATGCGAGGCCAGGATGTCTGTGGCCTTCTGTGTGTACATGAGGGTGGAGTAGAGGCCGCGGTCCTGGTCCCAGGCGGCCGCCTCGCCCTCGTGGAGGTCGTAGCCACAATTGCCGGGGCTCTCACATTTGTAGTGGGTGTAGTAGTCCCCGCTGCCCAGCAGCGAGCCGAAGAAGGTGTCGAAGCCGCGCTGCGTGGGCAGGCACCCGCGCCGGTAGAAGCCCAGGTGCCACTTGCCAACCATGTGCGTAGAATAGCCAACATCCTTCAGCTTCTGAGGCAGCGTGACGTTGTCCAGGGGCAAGCAGTTGGGCTGAGTGGGCCGGATGATGGAGTGCTGGAGGCCCGTGTGGATCTGGTATCTGTGGAGCACATGGGGAGGGACACAGTTAGGAGGAGCAGGAGACGCTGGTAGATGACCAGAGAAGCCTCAGTTATGTGACGGGGCGTTCCGAGGTCAAGGGTCTTTACATTACGCAAGGTCTCAGCAGGCACACGGGGGCCCGGTTAGAAGCTGTATGGAAAAAAGAGGCCTAAAGAGGACCTTCCCTCCTGTTACGAGAGAGAGGCTGAGTCATGGAGAAGGGGGTCATGGCTTGGGACGCTCACCCTGCCTCGCTTAAAGCGGCACGGGCACCAGGGGACCATCGTGTGCCACCATCTCCATTAAAACGCTGGGTTTTGGCAGAAGGTACGGAAACCACCCACGATCTCAGCCCTTGGGGGGGGGGGGGCATGATGGCTGCACTACTGTGATAAAAGTGGACCATGAGGTTCTGAAAGTGGCCCCTCTCTTCTCCTATAATCAAATACAGAGTGGGAGGTTCCTCAGGAATTATTGTACTGCAGAAATTAGCAAAGTCTGCTAAGCAACCAGATAAATACTGTATTTAAACACACTGCAGCCTCAAAGCCCCGTACCCCCGGCCCCACGACACAGGAACAGCCTCACCCCTCAGACCAGCTGGACCAGTCATCACTGCCACCTTCAGATTTATGGCATGTTGTGGTAACCTTGGTATCTTTAAGACACTGTGTGGACTTTAAAGTGTGAAACAGTTTTCTTCATTTCCTTCAGAAAGAACAGAAAACAAAATGGATTCATGCTGATTTTTTTAACGGAGTCACACTTAAGCATAATGTTGCACTAAGGAGGAAATGGGAATGTCAGGAATGCGCGAGTGGATCATCTGAGGGGGACTCCTTCCCGCTTTAAACCTCTCAGAATGGATCTAGTCAATAGAGCCATATCTCCAAGCACTGTGATGTACTACTGAAAAGAGAACTAAATATCCCTCACATGGTCATAATAACCTGTTCTCGGAAATAATGGCTGCAGCAACGATCAGCTGATGGCACAGATGATTCTGGGCAGGGAACTTGTAGCGCTGAATAAGACATGTGCTTTGGATGAGGGAATTTTCACTGAACAAGATGAAGTGTTACTGCTTCAGCCAAGAAAAGTGCAGCTACTGTAAGCATTCTGGTGAACTTCAGACAGTCATGGAGAGATAATGCCTGGTCTGAGAACAGTGCCAGTGCTCTTGCTGATAGCCTGAAGCATTCATCCCTCACTCATTCATCATGCCATGTGAAATATTCATCCCTCACTCATCCATCATGCCATGTGAAATATTCATCCCTCACTCATTCGTTGGCATGTGAAGTATCCATCTTTCACTCATTCCCCTGGTGTGTGGGATTGTATGCTTCCCATATCAGATACAGAATATCCTAAGGGGCAAGGTCCAACTAATGGTGATTTAAAAAAAAAATTAAACTGCCATATTTCTGTAAAACTCACAGTACACAGGTCAGCTATACATCATATCATCATGAATGAAAGCATTGGGCTGCTTTTCATATGATTGCTAACAAGTTTTTTTTTTTGTAAATCATGCTCCTCCACCCATGAAACTGGGACTTTCCTGTGGTCCAGCATTTGTTATAAAACTACTACACCCTGGGCGTAGGCCTTTGGAATGGCAGCTAAACACAAATTCAAACTCCAACAAGGCATAATCATTACATCATAACAACTGGCACATGGAGAGCGTATAAACCTGCTAAGCTCTCAGAGAGGAGATCCTCACACATGCCTGATGAGGCCAGCTGCTCTGCTCCATCCTCCTTGCATATGGTTCCTATAAAATGACTCTTTCGTTACACATGTAATGAAACTTTGCTTCACTCGCTAACTCGCTCACAGTGAACAAGGACAAAGGCACCAGCTGGGGACCAACCACATCTGTCAGTTACAGATACTCCAGTTCCTCCAAGACAAGAAAAAGGTTATTTGACTACATAATGACTCCTGTCCCTCTGGGATTAGCACAAAAAGCGAAGGGCACTGGAGCAGATCCATAACTATCTGCAAATCTGCAACACATCAGAAGCACTGGGTGTAATAGCTGATTTCATTTGATTTTATGTCTCTTCTTCCCATGACCAAAGATTTCTTGGAAATCAGGAAGGAGACGGAGTAGGTCTCTGACAGAAGGTCTTCGATGCAATGATCTCTGGTGGATTCTGTCAGTTCCGATCAGAGGTGGATAGTTCATGTCCTGAAAGCTAAAATTCAGACCAGGATTTTGTTTCCACCGACCAGTTGAGTATAAAGAGTCATAGTCACAGACTACTCAACTGGTTGGTGTATTTTTACATTTTGGACTTGAACTATCCACCTCTGGTTCCCATTTATCCTGCACACAAGAGGAACGCTGCCCTCTGACATCCATGTACTATTTACCAGCCTGAACCTGAGATACTGAACCACAACCTTGAGACCAATGTTCACAGCCCAGGCAAGCCTGTGTTCTTCACGATGTAAACAGATAAAGACCCTCCTGCATTTCTGGTCATAAAATTTTATTGCATTACTATACTTTGAAAGCATGCACATTAGAATGCCTAAAATGACTATAGTCACGATAAGCTTGATAAGCTAATCCCCACTGCATTCTTTCAAGTCTAGTAAAGCACATTGGACCTTCTCCCACGTTCTCGAGCCAGGGTACTCTGTCCTGCGATCAGAGTTACCTGCATCCCCCAGACAAACACCCTCTCAGCTCCGCCTGAGGGAATCTGCCTCTCGTACGGATCATTTCTGTGCGTCCACAAGGAAAGTTCACAAGGTGGCCGCTGACCTCAAGGCAGAGCTGGTGCCAGCGCAGTCTGTTTCCCCAGCGGGCTGCCACTGTGCTGTTAAACTGGGCAGCAATGTTTTTAATGGTTCAGAACCTGGATCTGTGCTAGTTCAACACCCAGGAGGGTTCTGCTGCTGTGGCCTTAAGCAAGGCACTTAACCAGAATTACTACAGTTAAAATCCCCATATAAAATATATGTGTGACTATAAAGTTGTTAACAGTGTACAAAATAGACTCTCTAACCATGTGACTAATAATTATTATATTTTTACGCGTGTGCCGCCATGTCGGACAGCAGAGATGCCATATCCTTCAGGAGCAAAGTAACCTTCATGGTGTCACTCCCCCACCCTTGACATGTCACCAGTACCACCTAAATACCTTTCTATTGTTCTGGGACCAGCTGTGACGGTTCTGGAACCTGCATGATGAGTCATCAGCCAATATTGTCTTGCAGGAAATCGTACTTTGCAGCTGATGGCAGAGGCCCAGAATCAGCTACGTCAAGACAGGGGATCAGAAGTGATCCGGAGGAGAGCCGACCAGACACTTGTATTGTGCATAACTCACCCTTTCACCCAATCACGAGGAATGCCCCAAACCTTTTACCCAATCACGAGGAATGCCCAAAACCTTTCACCCAACCATGAGGAATGCCCCAAACCCTGGTTTGAAACTCATTTCCTAGCTTCCTTTCTACTGCCTTATTGGCATCACTCCTCAAACAAATTATCTGCATCTGCATAACATTGCAGGGAAAAACAGCACAGCTTAAACAAAATAATGTGACTGCCCAGGATTCATAATCAACACCTGCAAACGGAGTCTCTGCTGGAAAGTCTGAGTGTGAGATTCAGATCCTCAGCTGGGTACTGAAACTCCTGACGGGAATTACTCTCCCAAACCCTACAGCTGCAGGACTACAGAGTAGCACTAAATCACGCTCCAGGCGGACAGAGACTTAAGCTTTACATCTCCCTTAAGAGAGCGCGCATTTAGGTTTACCATCTGTGGTGAGGGTGCGCGCATTTAGATGTACCATCTCCAACATTTAGCGCGGATTGGGATTTATCCTGGGCACTAAAGCATACGGCGCGGGGTGTCTCCAGGTAGGATAGAAAAACCACCTGATAAGCATGTTGGCCATCGATCAGCGCTGATCAACAGGCGTGACTACGACCGATCCCGAAACGCATACAAAAACTAGACAATGTTTTACTACGGACCATTGACCCAATTCAAAAGACATCCTCACTACACGCAATGCAATAAATATATTTGATCCAAATTCATTACACCTTCAAAACTTCTATTTATAAAATTTAAGGTCCATTGACTGTCCCGGACGTTTTGTTTTTTATCTTTTGCCGGAGACTCGTAGAAGAAATGCCCAAAATTTCAATTTCCCGTGGAGCAAAGCAGATGGCAAAGTACTCCGCAGGGCATCCACGTGGAGCGCCTGTAAAAACTCACATGGAGATAATAAAACCAGCAACCAGGCCACAATTAATCTCACTTTTATATCCGAATGCTTCCCTTCTGCCAGCCAGAACATGCCGCTGATATGATGCTTTCGGCTGAACGGGGGTACGTGTCCCCCCATCATCTCATTCGGCGTCATTTATCTCCCAGTGAACATTTAAATGAAGTTGCGTTCCCTCAATATCGTACTCCGCTGGTGCTGATGGTACAGAACCATTCTTCTAGATTTTTTTTTCTAAAGTTGTCTATACGATTTCAAATGAAAACATTTTTGTGATTTAAGGTCCCCTGTCTCGGGGGGGGGGGGGGATAGGGGGCAGTGTACAGGTTGCATCGTCCATTAACTGCATGTCAAAACAACACTTTATTTAATTTACTAATCATTTTATATTGCCGTGACCAGGATAAGAAGGTACAAATGGATTGGGGTATGGATGGACTATTTTACCTATACTTAGGTTGTGCTCCACAAACTTCTTAGCTTCTTCTTAGGAATTCCATTCAAAGAAAATGTTAAAATGCAAAGCTCTCGCGGCCATGAGGAACAAATGACTGAAATCATTTTAACTAACCGGAAAAACAGCATTTGTCCAATTAAGTAATCCTGTTGCTGGAAACAACAAGAATTTCGATCGAATTTCTAAGCAGACCCACAATGGGCCTTTGCTTAATACTAAGAGGTAAAAACTCACCTTCCTGTCATAAATTGGCTCCTGGAGGGGGTACAGATGGGTTGGACGTAGTAATTCTCCAGCTTGACGCCCTCCGACGCCAGTTTGTCTAAGGTGGGGGTTTTTATCTCAGACCCATGGTACCCCACATCTCGGTAACCCTGATCGTCGGCCAGAATGAAAATGATGTGTGGCTTATAATCCGCCTCATCGACTTCGTTCAATCGGTTGTGCAAATTGCCATAAATATTTTCCCAAGATACACGACTGCAGTTTCCCTTTATTAGGAGGAATATGCTAAGCAGAACTCCAAGCACGAACATTTTCCAGGACGGTGGAAAAGCAAGCCTCACGAATCCTTACTGCTTTCGATAAATTGCTGAAAAACTGTCACAGCGATCGCACGTGTCCGCAGCATCACCGAGTACCAGAGCTGGCGGCGGGAGCGCGCACTGACGCGGCGCGCGTTCGGGGGGCAGAGGAAGCGCTTTGAGAGTGCCTTCACAATATTTTTAAGCATTGTGCAATCCAGGCATCAATCCAGGCATCTCCATCAGATCAGCAATAATACATCCTGCATTGTTCCTTCTACCTAAAAAGGAAACATTCTAGTAACAACGACACTTCTGTTCATCCATTCAATGCCCAGGTTGTTTCTGCTGCATCTAAACTTCTTAACAGCGCTATAACAATCTTAACCCACGCCAGCACACGGCATTTCCTTTCTCGACATGAAATCCCGACGCGTTCCGACACCGCTGCTGTCACGTCTTCTTTGCTGTTATCTTCCCCGCATCATGTAAACGGTCGCATTTCGTTTCCCGATTGAGCATCGCTGCAATAAATCCAAAATACCACAGCGCAAAAAATATGTTTTATTCTCGATAAAAGGCGAAGATCGAGGTGACGAACAGCGAGGTGCGTCCCGCTTGTCTCTGGATTGACGTTCCGCTGCCTGCCAGTCTGGGCGCGATCGCCGTAACGCGGAGCGCTTCATCCCTCCCTTCTTCCCCTTTCCCCGTCCCCCCTCCGTCCATGAGCTATGCAGGCAGAATGAGGTCTGACCCATACTCTGCTGGTACCAAGCGGTGCCAACTATACTTACTAAGTTTAGAAGGTTATGCACGGAGGAAGGTCTGCCATCATGAAACTTAATCTAATTTCAGAGCCTTGTTTGTCGTTAGGGCAAAAATCTCAACACAGTGAAACATTTGCTGAGATTATGCAATCCCGAATTCATTTAAATGTTAATCGTAAAAATTCACCGATCAAGTCAGAAAGTGACGTGATCTCCAATCTTATCGAATCACATTGATTTATTTTACGATTGGATATTTGCACAATGTTTGGAAGATATATCCACTAAACGGGTATCTGGGAAGAAGATGCAGTTTGACCAGCTGTGAACGTTTAAGTAAATATATATAAACAGTAATATGTAACGTAGGAAATATATATTGAAAAGTGGAGAATGGTAAGGTGCCATCAGCTAATGCAAATTATGCATGCAATGTTGTTGTGTTTAAACAAACTCTGTCCAGGCCTGACGTGGTATGCAATCCCAACACGGGTAAATGAGCCCCGGAAAAACGATGTAAACTGCATTTTACAATGTGCTGTTTTCCTTACACACTTGGCAATCTTATTTGCTACAGTGGCTGTCCGAAGCACCATTGTTCCGGTCACAGCTTAACCGTCGTCTTGTTTTGCACATGTGAGTTTGCAGCGGACGGCAAACGGAGGCATCGCAGCGGTACAGTAAAACACGGGGGGGTCCGACACCCCCGATTAACCCATGAGACCCCCTGAAAGCCTCAAAAGCAACATTTTAAGGGCGTCTCAAGATCGGTATTGCGCAACAATAGGGAGATGGGGACCCCCCCGAATATTGACGGGTGTCTCGCACACTGCAGTGGTAGTAGGCCTATGTGAAGAGAGGACTTTCCAATGACGTAACGACACCTTTTTATTAAACTCCTATAAAGACTAACGCAGGAACCCATAAACGAGATCCTAAGCACAGGGAGGTCGGACACCAGACAGTAATAGGCACACACATGATGGGTTATTTATACAAGAGACACGCGTGGACCGGACAGGGTTCACGCAAGACACAGGCAAATGGTAAACACGACAATCGGGCACACAGCAAGCATTAACAATTACATAAACAAGGGTTATTTGCAGTGTTCCCAGAATGCTCGGCTACTACACGTTCATCAGAATCGATTGCCATGTTCGTTTTTGATTGAAAATGATAAAAAAATGATGCACTGTACCGTCGTCATTTTGCACAGCCTCACCCCCATACCGCATTGCTTATAAGGCTCATTTATTCTCATATAACAATATAACGCTTGCACTGCCTTGTCCTGCATTGTAGTGCTGTTTACCCCACTGTCCCCTGATTCACCTGCTTCCTATACCTCCTTCAAAGTGTGGCAGAACATTTCACACTGTCAATAAAACCTGAAAATGAAACGATTACTTATCATTGCTGTGGACTGATCAAGATGCCAGAATGCAAGGTAAGAAAATGAGTTTGAAGTTGCTTTGCTCAGGAGCCCAAGAGCAGGACGGCCTGGCAACAAAAAGCAGCCTGGGAATAGTGTGTGTGTGTGTGTGTGTGTGTGTGTGTGGGGGGGGGGGGGGGGGGGGGGGGGGGGGGGGGGGGGGGGGGCTTGGTATATTTGGCCAATGACTTTGAGGGGGTGGGGGCATTTTGCAGATCGCCATCAACCAGTTGCCTATATAATAAAAAGCTATATATAGGCTGTATAATGCAGGAGTTGGGGAAGAAAGATCAACCCACCAGGAAAATTCTGGAACTTTCAGAGGGCCAGTCCGCCCCTGCACAAGAGTGATTTCACCATTCAGCCCCTGAGCAAGACCCTTAACCCCTAATTGCTCCAGGAAGTGTCTGACCCTACTTTCTCAAAAAATGTATGGTTGTAAATGTAAGGAAAAAAAAAATTAGTTTGACACTGGTGGGTATTAGTGGACCATTATGAAAAGTAATGGACAAGGCGATTAGCGAGTCTCAGACAGAAGGGGGGATATGTGTAAAGTGTTTTTAAGCGGCTCATAATCAGCTTGACTGCAGTAGCCCGGTCAAAATGTGCTTTAAACAAGCCATCTGGAAAAGTGTGTGCAGCCATGTGACCCCTTGACTTTGGGCAAGTCGTGCCCCTGACCTCTGAATCTAATCACTCCACTGGCAACCCGACTCCCCTAATGTCAAAATGAGCAGCAGCCACGACATGGAGGAAGCATTAGAGACAACAGCTTTAAGACAGAATTCCCCCCTTGGATGTTCCGACTTTAAGGTGCCCGTGTGTCTGATTGGCCTGGAGTCCCACTGGGCACCTAGACATGAAAATGAATGGAAAATAGTTACTTGATTAGTTTCCTTGGCAAGAGTGGCATGCAGCCCTACAAAATACAGCCAGTTCCCAGCGATGATCTCCATCCTCCCATGGTTTGAGTCTCTCTCTGCATTGAATTATCACGATGAACTTTAGGAAATGCCAACATCTACGTAGGACGTGAAACACCAGGACTTATGAAACACTTGGAAAAGAAAACTCAACTGTCATAATTAATTAGGGTCAAGCATCCTTGGATTTTGGTAATACTTTGTTGGCTATTTTTAGAAATCATCTCCTATCGGATGTTTTCCAACCCTTTCAATCAGATAAGGTTTTACTGGGCCAGAGCAGAACTATTCAAATCTAATAACCAATGACGTAACGCTTTACTGGACCTGGACAGACCCATTTAAAGCTAACAACAAATGAGGAAAGTCTTTCCTGGGACTGAGCAGAACCATTCAGATCTAATAACCAATGAAGTAAGGCTTTACTGGGCTTGGGAGGAACCATCTAAAGCCAATAACCACTGAGGTAAAGGATTACTAACTGTTTGATAGAAATGGGCACATTTCAGAAACGTTTCCCACTAAGCAGCTGAGACGCATTCTTGTCCCAACAGCTCAATTAATTTGTTAGTTTAGTATGTCCAACGTGCCCCAGCACAGAGGGCTTATGGAGGACTCTGTTTACATTCACTCACAATAGCTCTGGGGTGGCATGTCTAAAAGAGTGCATGTTTGCCTTTGTCTGCCCCACCACGCTAAACAAGAGAGCGAGACCTCACAAGTCAATTGGAAATTGGAAGAAGCAGAATCTTCCTTCAGGCCAAGTGTAACCCTCTCTCAGTGAATGTAGAGCTGGACTGCCGTTTGCTTTGCTAAAGGCCAGGACACAGTTATTATTACTGCTCATAATTTCTTTAAGTGATTTCAAAACAACATACTGTACCCCGTGATGTTATACTAGGCTCCAGAATATACCACTTAACACCAACATTTTATCCTACTCTTTACTTTGAATACATATCAAAGACATACAAAAGATAATTTCTTGGGGCAATCAGGGTGTTGTACTAAAAAAAAATGTTTAAATAATGGCCAAGTATCAGCACAGTGGAACTGAATGTGCGTTATGATGTATAAAACAAAAGGTATATTTAGACAACTGCACCTCCTGAATGGCCTTTGTTCCAGGCACTGCTCGGGTTACTCTAACCCCCACCATTAACCCAAAGCCGCTCTGATGTACATGCTGATGTCTGCTGCAGGCTCATTTGATCTGTTTACCTGATCTTAACCTCAGGTGGGGAAACCTGAGTACACAGACACAACAGGCTTATTTTGACAAATAGCTGAATTGTATCCAAGCGATGGACGAGACGACGAGGCTGCGGCGGCCGGCACCAGAAACACCGCGATATCCCCTTTCAGTCCCGTATCATTTCTTTTTGTGCACCGCTGACTGAACCTGCATCGTGGAAGCGGACAAGATTTGGATGCTATCAAAGACCCCAGTGAGCTGTGCTGTTGCTGTGACACTGTAGTCCAGATCACCTTCAGAAAAAGTACGTCTTGCACTGTCAACTGTATATTTGTCTACTGTTATATTTATAGATGCATATAGTCTTACTTAACTTTTGTTATCCACCTTGAAATGCTTTAAATATCACTTCTGTACATGTAGTATATACTGTATAGTCCTATTTAACTTGTATTAGGGTGACATGGTGGTGCAGTGGTTAGCCCTGTTGCCTCCCACCTCTGGGACCCAGGTTCGAGTCTCCGCCTGGGTTACATGTATGTGGAGTTTGCATGTTCTCCCCATGTTGTCATGGGGTTTCCTCCGGGTACTCTGGTTTCCCCCCACAGTCCAAAGACATGCTGAGGCTAATTGGAGTTACTAAATTGCCCATAGGTGTGCATGTGTGAGTGAATGGTGTGTGAGTGTGCCCTGCGATAGGCTGGCCCCCTGTCTAGGGTTGTTCCCTGCCTTGTGGCCGTTGCTTCCGGGATAGGGTCTGGACCCCCTGCGACCCAGTAGGATAAAGTGGGTTGGAAAATGAATAACTTGTATTATTTAAGGATTTTTTTTTGTTTTTATTTGTGTTTTTAATTGATTTATTTGTCTCAGTCTGAGTCGTCGCCAGATTTGCATGCCACTGTGAGTTGTATCTATATAATTATACATGTGACAAATAAACCTTGAATCTTGAGCATAATGACAAAATACATATCCTCTGAGGTCAGCTTATTTAACAGGACCAAACTGAATGAATGAAAGACTTCCTCCATTCTCAATACTGCTTATCTTCTACAGGACTACATTGTGTATCAGGCAGTTCAAAGCATCATTCAAGCTCAGCCCGGCTGCGCTCATGTCTAGTTGACTGACAGCATGTATGTTTGCTTTGGAGAAAAGCATCTGCGAACCAAGATGGCGCCAGAAGTGACAGCAGTGTCCAGCAGTTCCTGAAACGTCTTTATATCTGTTCACCTGCTGCTGGACCGAAGGAATTCCCTCACCCAAGGGGATCAGTAAAGCAAAGTCTACGCATAGACCCCAAGTAAGTTAAATATATGGGAGCAAACCCACACAAATGTGAGCGTGTGTAAGCTCCACCCACACACACACACACACACAC